CATAAATCCTTTTGTTAACACCCACAAAATGAAGTTAAATAATTTTAACAACTGCAGATTTTAGGTTGAATAGATAATGATTTTGTTGTAACTTTATTTTTCACCTTTCAATTTGTTTTCTTTACAAGCAAACACCAGTTCTCTTGTAATAAATACACAGTAGAGTTAATACTAAAGTGTTAAGCAAAGTTAATCACATAGCAGATGAAAAATTAGAAATGCATTTTGAACCAATTGTCCTTCCAGTCTAATTTACATAAATAAAAGTGTGTGTATTTTTTAAGATATAAACCAATAATTTTCATTGTTCACTTACAAATAGCTAAGTAAGGTTATTTTGGTGAGCAACATTAACATTTAAGGTTATTTTTTTACAATGATTGTAAAAAATAACATTAGTAACAAATAATTATTACAAAGTAACCTTCAAGTTGTTCCTGACAAATTCTTATTATTTATATGTAACATACCATAATGATAAACAATTAATATTAAAAAGACCTTAATATTAATAATATATTGAAAAGTTTTTTACCCCAAAGGAAAATCTTCATATTCCATGTGGTCACACTCATACTGTATGTATGAGTGTGACCACATGGAGTTGTGCAGTTGAGTTGTGGTCACACTCATATATAGAGTATGAGTGTGACCACAACTCAACTGCACATCTGGAGTATTATGAAAGAGTATATAATCAGGATAAATCCAGCCACTTGTAAGATAGTTATGGGCCTCTAAAGATTTGTAAGCTTTCATTTGTGAAAGAGTGTAGTAATTTGTTATCAAAACCAAATAGTTTATGACATCACCAAATTCTATTTTAGGCCAGAACTCTTGATATACAATGAAGATGCTGGCTTTGTATAGATCAATATGTCAATCAACCTTGACATAATGAAACTCTCTTCATATAAAGCAGTATCTCAGACAGCAAGAATAGCATTCCAGAAGAGCATATTTTTTAACTTTGTCCATGATATAAAAACACTGCAGTTCTATTGAGTTTAAATTGAAAAAAAGAGCGCTGCCAATCTGTCAAATAACAAACCACGTGCAAGCTAAGCAAGTGGAAGCTACACCACAATCATGGCAAAGGAATGGAGAAAACATGCAATGTATCACATGACATGCACCCTTGAAACCTCTATTGATTGTTCCTAACATCTGGTAGAAAATTATCAGCTAGATATTCTGAGTGATCAATGCATCTTGTGTTGATATAAAAAAAAATCTTTTTGAGACTAAACAATTATTACTAATAAATGTTCCTTATTATTATCTGGTTTCAGTATAATATATTTTTAAATTTTGATAATAGTGTGTTCAAAAAAGACCTTTATTATTTCAATTACTTATGGTTAGGCCAAATTTTATTTAGATTTATGAATATATAGAATCTAATATACTTCACATAAAATGAAATTTAACATTGATTCTGAAATATTTAAGTTTTATTTTTTTTCCTTCTAAATTTTAAGTGTTCTTGAATCTTATACTTGATGGTTTTTTTTTAGTTAAAACTATCTTCAAAGTACATTTGGGTTATAAATAAGGCTGATCAATAATTGATTAAACAATATTGCCTAGACAGCATAAGATGATTGACTAAATTTAATAATTTTAGATGCAAGATGGGAGCCTAATTGCCTATCTGTATATCAAATTATATTTAATAATTTGAAGACAGAATTCGCTCAAACAGGGACCACCATTTTTAATTCCGTGTTTAAGACAATACAATTCTGGCGACCAACCTTCATTTTTAGGCTACTTTAGGAAAAATTTTATATTTTAGTGTTTTGGTGGCTAGTAGCCTAAAAAGGAAGGTTGGTCACCAGAATTGTATTGTCTTAAACACGGAATTAAAAATGGTGGTACCTGTTTGGGCGAATTCTGTCTTCAAATTGACTACTGATTGGATATTACTTATTGAAATATAATTAAAAACTTTATTACCTTTAAAAGAATTTTTCTATTAATTCTGTTGAAACTAAAAATAAAAAATTATTATTAAAATCATCATTGAAGTATTAAGTTTAGAAATATATTTAACTTGAAATTTGAATATTTTTCTCAAAATAGATGAAAATTTTTATTATAATTAAGAATGGATTTAATTCCATCAGTCTCAAATCAATACCTTAAATAGAGAAAAGTCAAAATTCATAAATGTTTTATCAACAGAGAATTTCATCTAAGATAAATTCATTTTCTATATAATTTAGGGTAAAAGTTTGGCGTGAATTTATTGGTTTGTCTTTATTTACTCATCACAAATGATAATTTACATACCATCTAAAGATAAAACTTACATTATACACAAATTAAAAATATGAAAATAGAAATGACTAAACTATTTTTTCTTGCTGAAATTTTATTTAATTCAATTATAGGCAAAAATATGTATACTGCTGTATTTAAAATAATTACAATAATTTAAACAGGTATCATTGGAATACATAAAAATGTTATACCAATATGACATATAAATTGCATTCGAACTCAATCTCATTTTAAAATATTCAAATTCATAAGACATGAAATTTCTGAAGAGTAAGATATAAAAAATTTAAAAATGAAAGAAAAATTAATAGTTAGTATACTAAACAATTTATTTTTCCATGGTATAAATTGGTATAAATTTTATTCTTTATCAGCTCTCCATATGGATTAAAAATGTGCCAAACAATCACAAAGGAGAGATTTTTAGATGAAAAAGTTGGCAAGCATTAAGAAATACTTTTGTATATTCCACTAAATAAATTTTTTGTACAGTACATTATGTTAATTTCACAGAATTTTGAGATTATAGTATCATTGCAATTATATAGTTTATGGGCCCAAGATGGCCAAATGGTGAGAAATGGATCCCAACGCATCCAGGAAAGACCAAAAATGAAAAATGTTAGAGATTTAGAACTCTGATCTGAACCCGGGTCCCTCGGAGCAGCATGCCATTTTTACCACCTTGGGCATCCTGGCTATATTCATGTATTATGCTGCAAACCTCCAAACAATATTTGTGATCCTGTTTTTTAATGCAGATTATATTAAGAAGCCAAAGTTGTTAAGATGAACTCTGAAAATGGATATAAATTTTTACTTGTGTCAAACCTCCAAAAGATTAATCTTTTTGTAATATAAGTACAGAATATTCTTTTATGGTATAAGCACTAAGAACTTCAGAAATCTCAAAATTATTCCATAATACAAAATTGCAGTATGCAACTGTTCTCTCCAATCATTGAATTTCGTAATTAATGTTAAAAGTTTGATTTTATGTAATAGTAGTAAATTGATTTGACTGGAAACAATCTATTCAACTTGTTACATGTTTATTATAATAAAATTTTGAGTTTGTTTTTGCAGAATCAAAATGTTTAACTACAATAAGAAAATTGGTATATTTATATATTGTAATATTCAAATGGGTCAAACATGTTCATGATTTTAATGATGGAGCCATTTATCATTAACAATTATCAGTTTTTGAAAAATTAACAGTTGAATAGTTCATGTTTTGCCTTGATATCTTCAGATTGTTATTTAGAAACTTTAATTGCTTGAACAATTTTCACAGATGAAAATTGTTCAAGCAATTAAAGTTTCTAAATAACAATCTGAAGATATCAAGGCAAAACATGAACTATTCAGTGTGTTCTATACCAACTTGCTTATTTAATGGCTTTTAGTATTTATTAAAATTATAAAAATAAATGTAGTTTTTAATTGGACAGATATCTTAATAAAAGTGAATTTATCAGAAAAATAACTTGTGAAATTACAATAAAAATGTTAACTGCCTAAAACTAACAAATATTTAATAAAGATACTTTTTTAATTTCACTGTATTGTTATTTATTCATGATAATTACTTTAAATATACAAAGTAAAAATACAAAAAAAAATTTTTTTGCTGTCATTTTTTTTAAACAAATTCACATATCCAAATTTTCCTTATATTACTATATGCAAGGTTCCCACTTTTGTAAAACAAATTTCAGGATTTTCAAGCATTACAATGTCTAGGATATTACAGAAATTATAGTTACACTCCAGTATTTGAATTTTTACTACAATGAATGATTTGTTAGTATCCATTGTGATATCTGAACTGAATAATCCCAGTATTATGAATTTTGTTGAAGGAAACTTATTAGAATTTTGAAATTCACATTAGTAAAAGGTGAGAAGTGACCCATTCCCTGCAACTGTTTTCATTTTTTTAGTGGCAGTTGTACAGTTTTAATAATTTTTTACTACAAAATTTCAATGCAATCATACATACATACTCCTAACAGTTCATTTGCTTTCGCGTTATTGCATGAAAACAGAACAATTTAATTAAAATATGACAAAGTATATGCTATATTAAATTGTCACTTGCATTTTAAAGAAAATGTCAGTCCTAAGAGAAAAAGAAATAATTGTCTTTAAGATATCATTTATGTAGTACAATTGTATAAAAAGTCATTTGCAAAAAGTTTTAAAGATCAATGAAATTACTGAATTATCCAAAATCTATTGTAAATTCTGTTTATAATAAAAAAGTTATTTAAAAATGCAATTTTAAAGTAATCAATGTGATTATTTTATGCAGGTAATGTAATTATGTAATAAATAATAATCATTATTTATCATTATAAATCTATTATTTAATAGAATGTTAAATGGTAATTACAATGACAATAGTTTCAATTAAGTGTGGATATTTTGAAAACAAAAATTACCACTAATAAAATAATTAATTGAACTAATTACAATAAACATTCCATTTTTAAGCAGTTTTTCAGACAAAACTGAAAATTATGGAGAAAAATTTTAATTTACATCACTTAGGAATATAAATTGATTAGAAAAAAGGTTTAAATTCAATTCTGTTACACAAAAAAAATTTAATATTTCACAGTTAATAATAATGAATTTTGGCCATATTTAAAACTAATTTTTAAATAAAAAAAAGGATTAAATTGTTCATAAAATAATTCAATTGGAAGTAATTATTATATTGAAGATTATATCATGTAAAGTTTTAAAATATATATTTTTAATAAATTTTATAATTACTTTAGTAATTGTAATACATTATTACAATTGTTTGGCAGTGAAATGGCAATACGTTTTAAGTTTAAGAGATGAGATGTATAATACTGAACATTTTTACAAATATGGCTATTTAGAATTTAAGTCCCGGCCTGATGCCCAACCTTGCTTTACAGTCACCATTCCAAGATTTTGATTTGGCTTTAAATTGTCTTAATTCTTGTTCATGTTCTTTATGAAGCATTGGTTTATATTCCTGTGGCTCACAGTATTCCTGTTAAAATACAATTCATTAGTCAGATTTAGAACAGTATTTTTCATATTTATTTATTTTCTTAAGTTAATTACCTTAAAACTCTCATAAAAAGCTTTATAACCTCCATGAAGAATATAAAGTTCAGGATGATGTAATTGTGGATACCTGTCTTTATTAGTTTCTCGATCCATGTTCCTTAGAAAGCGATATCTATAAAAATTTATTATGTTATGACAATTGTATAGATGTTGTATAAAATTTTAACATTTCTTTTAAACGACTTACAAATTAGGACCTCTTTCAGATGAAAATTCACAATGGAATATAATTACATTACGTTTCTTATCTTGATTAAATTTGTTTTTATTTGATAAAAAATAGTCTATAATTCCCTCTTTAGTGTAGATGTTTTTTGCATCCTAAAAATAACAACATTATTATTAATATTTAAGTAGATTTTTAAATCAACATCAATTATTTTTTATTTTAGAAAATACTTAATTTATTAAAATTATGTTATATTTTTCATTTTATAAATTAAATAACAATTTATTGATTACAAATACACAAAAATTAAGTAATACTTACTACAATGTGTCCGCCTTCAAATTCGTATGGATATCTACAATCAACTACAGTGAAACTGTCAACAACATCCTTGTATTTACCTTTTAATAAATCTATAACCTGTGAAATATAATAATTATTAAAAAAAAGGATTAAAAACTTGAAATATGATTATTGTTTGAGTCAAACATTTTTAATCTTAATTTTTATTCTGAGGAAGGACGTTTAAAATGACCAAACATTAGAAAAAGTAAAACTCACACTGCATTTAAAAGTATGAGTGGTGGTTTTTGTAGTTTAACTTGTAAATATTTTTATTTTTGAAACATTTTTTTTTTATACAAACAAATTTAAATTTCTAAAACAAATGCTTTATTTTAGATATATAAACAGAATTTCCAGAACTATATGTTCTTAATGGTTTATTTTGGTGTATTGTTAATCTTCTGGAATCATTTGGAATTCCAGAAATTACAATAAAGTTTAATTTTCTGAATATGAATATGTTAAGAAATTTTTTAAAAATAGTTTTATAAAATTTGGAGACATATTAGGACAAGTGAAAAATTTAAATAATTACATTTTTACAACTAATATTTTAAAAGCTTTAAAACAGATTACTCTCATTTTTTCTTGCAAAACTTCAATTTTAAATTGTTTTATATGTAAAGTAACTTTTAATTACAGAAAATAACACAAAATTTTTTTTTGACAGTTATTTTTTGTGAGATGTTTAATTTATGCAATTTTAACAAGAAAAGCATCATCTATTCATTAAATATAAATTACCATTTTTTTAAAATCTGTTTCTAAATTAAAATATGACAATGTTCTTGAAATTATATTTTAATTTGTTTCTTAAGGAACAATATTTCATTTCTTTAATGACTTCATTACTTACATATTGAAATAAATATTGATTTCAACTGTTAAATTAAGAATTAACAAACTAACATTTTGGAAAGTTACTTTTTGAAAACATTAAAGCTCTTGTCTTTTTACTTTTTAAATCACTCAAAATATTACTTACTGTAGAAGCAGTTATTGTTTTCACATCTTGGTGTTTACCTTTTACTAAAGGCAGAGCAAAAGGCTATAATTAAAATAAAAATTATTAATTTGATCAGTATATTAATAGAACAAAAAAATGAATTTAAAAAATTGTTCTTACTTTAGAAAAATCCCCTATTAAGTCAGGTTCCTGTACAGCTAAAAATATTAAAATATTTAAATAAAATTACTGATCAAAATTATCAGTCTAACAATCTTTTTCTACACTTACATTTTTGTAATGCTTTCATAATAGTTGCTTCTGTTTCAGAATGGCATCTTTGAAGTGGCGATTTCTTTACAGATAACTGAAAAAATAAACATAATGTAAAGACTGATTTGTGCATATGAATTAATATTTAAATACTATTTACTTTTGTATCATTTAGTAGAGGAACTAATGGCACACTTTTCCTACGTTTACTTTGAATAGGACAGAAAAGATCTTTTGGTGGATCAGGTCGCTTAAATGCTGGTTTTGTTTCAGTTATTATAAAATTTCTAGTATTGTTATTGGTATCTGTAGGATTATTATTTATTTGAGAATTTTGAGGATCATTAATATCACAGGAGGAGCTGTGTTTTTTCCACTGATAAAGTGAATCCAATCCAGTTTTGGTCTGAAATTCAACATAATTTTTATAATTAATATTATATCAAAACATTTTAACATTTGATTGAAATGAAATTACAATTTTCAGATCACATTCAGACATCAGCGAAAGACATCTTCGAATTCTGGGATGCAATTTCTTTTCTTCCGTATTTTTCTGCTTATTTGAATCATCATCTGAAAGCAATGTTTCTTCTGATAAAGAATGAATGACAGGCTTTGTGAGCAAATTTGTAATGTTTACTGAAAAGCCACTTAAACTGTCAATCTAAAATTAAAACAAATAAAAAAAGGTTTATTTATAAATCAATTTCAAATGTGATTTTTAAACTTGAATGAGTGCTCACTTGTTTATCTATGCCAAAAACATCTAAGAAATCGTCTCCATCATCATTTGCAAACAAAGTACTTCTAACTGTTGTAGACTGAGAACTACCAGGTGAAGATAGAACACTAGGAGAAGATATACTTACAGATTCCTAAAAATTAATTTTTAATATTTCAATAAATATAAATAAATAAATAAATAGACAAAATTTTAAATTAAGTTTTAATTACTCTTATTTCATTGCCAAATTTAGTATCACTTTCATATGTTATCCTTTGTAACAATGAATTATTAGATTTAGATTCTTCCTGTAAGATAAAATATAAGATATCACAACTTTAATAATTTTACTTTTTATTTTTATTAACAAACAACTAACTGAATTAGTTGGGCAAGTAGAGTAACCACTGTCATTCAATTCCAAACTGTTATTAGAATCAATTGTAGAAGTATTTAAACATTTTTTTCTGGAAACATTTTCAGTCAACATACAACTTGGAATGTTTTCTTTATCTCTCAATGGATTTTGATGAAACTAAAAAGTTAAATAAAATAAATATTAATTTCTTCATTAAACATATAATTAAATTATGATGCTATATGATATATAAATTTCATTACAAAACACTATTTAGAACATTATTACAAACTAATGGTTTATAGCTTAATGTTAAATTAATCTTTACTCATTAATATTAATTTTAAATTTCTCAAACAGGGACCACCATTTTTAATTCCGTGTTTAAGACAATACAATTCNCAATTATTCATAGTATCATGTTTTCTTTGAAAAAGAATAATAATAATAATTTAAAGCTAATAACAAAAGATCAATGATGGTAATGATATATTTTTTAGATTACAGTATATTAATAAAATTCTTAATCAAAAGATATGATTATTTTAATTTTAATACATGCCAATAAATAATCTTTTTAATATTTCATAAGTTTATAATAATTCTTAGCACTCTTAAAAAAATTCAGTAATAATCAGCCATGCTAGAATTTCAAATTTCATTGTTCAATAATTAATTTGCTACTTATTAAAACTACAATGTCAAATAGAATAAAAACTTTATGCAATTTATCATAAAACAATTTTTCATTAAATGCTAACAAATTTCTAGTTTTGTATAAAAAAAATATCAACAATTTTTTTTTACATTAACTATTGTTCCTATTGAAATTCATCATTGTTGAAAAAAAGGTATAAAACATTTTTCTCGTGCATACTAATTGATGTAATTAAAACACTGCTGCTCTGATAATGGAATTTTTTTTTTCATTTGTAACAAACAATAATCTATTGTCTTCACTTTGAAATATACTGATGATAACTGTATTTTATTTTTAAAAGTATTAGAATAAAAATTACATATATAAAGAATTATATGTGATGACTAAAAAAGACTTAATTAAATTGTAAGATTGCTATTATATAAATTATAATTATATAATAGCATATATAAACCAAGTTTTTCATTCAATTAACACACAAAATAATCAAAACTGAAAATACAGAAAGAGCAGAAACAAAAGATCTTGTAGAAGGGATATGGCAGAAAGATAATTTAACTTTAGATATATTAACATATACATATAATAATTGTTTTATTAAACATTAAAAGGGATAATAAATTTTGTTTTAAATTTCGGATTAATTCTAAAATTTAAAATATTAGAAATAGAACAATTCTAAGCATAGTAGACTGTTAATCAACATAAGAATATTTTTCAAAAATTGTTAAATATTGTGACTCAAGAATTTTCATTTCTGATAAATAACATTATGTGCAATTTGTTTTAGGTGATAAATCCATTTATCATGACTAAATCATAATATCTAAATTTAATCATTAATTTTAAATTTATTATATGATGAAGTTAACTATATAAACATTCAAACGTTAATTTCAATAGATATGTGAAAATATCTGCAAATATTTATTCAAGCACGTAACAAAATTTATACAGAAAAATAAATTCAATACTTACTGGAAAGGTTCGAACTCTTCTAATAATCTGATTACTTTCATTTTGAGATGTTACATTCTTCAGAAATCTGGAAATAAGCGAAGTTTGAACTATATTAATAAATAGAGAGCACTCCATAGTTACAGAGCAAGATGCTGTCATTTTGGAAATAACGATGCAGCAGCGTGTGCAGACTATACACAAATGCCCAAATGCAGACAGCTTCAACAGAACGGATGCAAACTGATAGACGGGAGAGAATAACGGCAGCTGGTTGGTGCCACGTGTTCGCCACGTGTCACTAGTGTCGAGATACTTTTTTACGATTATCCCCCTTCTGAGGTAGACAATCAGCTGAAGTTTACACAATAAGTCGAGAGAGAGGGGGGCCGAGTGTATCGAATAAAATCTGCGCCTCCGTCACTCCGATAATATCCGGCCAATCTGCAAGATGCAGAGTAATATACCGGCTTTCGAAAAGATTTTACTTTATATATATTGATATATTTTTATATTGATCCTCTGCGGATTCAACTAAACACAAAAATCACGAAAGAAATATAATTCCGCACGCGATATCACGTGCCGATAGGCGAAAGTGACAGATGCTCGACTGCCACTGAGTATTGTTATCAGTGACGTCATCAAACTCCGTTAGCGCTAAAAAAAATTGTTCCAACACGAAATAAATCTTTGAAATCCTTCAAATCAAGTTTTAAAAAAATGTATTGAAAAATTACAATTCAGTTATTAAAGCTATCAATTAAATAACGATGCGTGATTTAACGATTTTGCAATAATTCCGAACATAAATCTACCTAAAGCTTCAATTTTCAATCAAAATATTTCTAAAATCTGTTTTATATTATTATCATCTTCTAGAATATAGAATTTACTAAATATCTTATCAATTTAATATAAATTGATGATTTAATCATCAAAGGTTTATTATTTTAATTTCAAGAAACTGCAAAAATATATTCTACAGTTTACGAATTATTAATATTCAAGCTTAAACGATATTTATAATAAATTGAATAAAGTAAATACATACGAATAAATTATATAGGCCTATATATACAGTACACATATACAAGGCCATTCAAAACGTTTCGGGAGCCCTTGCACCCGGCAACTATATCGAGACAACAATAATAAAATATTAAATAAGTATATCTATAAAATTATTTTTAATTAATGCTTGCACCGTACAACTATATTTTATTTACTGTTTTTAAAATTTCTTTTCGTTTTGCAGCCGCATCCTCATTTGAAGGACTCCTATATATAGATATTTTATTTGCCCTATTTGTTTAATTGCATTAAAAATAAAATTAAACTTTTAAATTACGTAATAATTAATATAAACATGTCTAATATATATACACACACACATACATTATATATAAGTTACATTGTGTGCGCGAGGCACGCCTATACATAAACACATACATTTTATATTTAGTAAATATTAATATACTGAAATGCTGTATTGAATATTAAATGTATAAATTTAGAGGGACGAAAAGTGTTTAGAAAATGCGCGCTTTTTTCCATCCCTCCAGCTGTTCAGGTTGACAACAGACGAGTGTGTTGCCGTGACAGCAGTCAGACATCCAGCGACTGACATGTTATTAAATGTAACGCTACGCAAAAAAGTATTCAATGAGTTACTGTATGTAGAGAGAGTGCATTGAACCTAAAACTGAATTTGTTTTCAAGGTTTATTTATTTATTATAATTAAACCAATACACGTTAAACAAAAACGAGAACAACACATAAGCGATCCATCAACGGCCAACCTATTAAACATATTTATAGCAATTGCATTTCTTTAATTAAGTGTCATACTTGAAATATTTTTATTACTCAAAAAAAATCATTTATATCAATATTAAATATATTATAATTTACTAACATTTTTACTTGAGTATTTAACATAAATTAAGGATTTTTTTAAAACATTATTTACGATTGTAATCGGTTTTGATTACAGATAATCTTCACGATTTACAAAAACCAGAAGTGTGGCCGTTTGAAATGTTCAAATATCTGTTGAACGCGACGGGTTTTGCTAATTTGCTAACTTCCATTGAGCATCGCTTCCTCATAAAATTGCGGTTTGGCTCGATAAAGAGAAAAACCAGATTTTAAAACATGTATTTTAACCTTGACATGTGGTAGTTGGCCACACCAGTTTTTGGTGTATCCGCGGATGCGGCGTGACATCAACGATCTATATAGCAACAGCTGCGAGAGCTTTTGGCCACTCTATTCTCATCGTCGGTGGCAGCTGGATCACTCTCGAATTTTCCATTTAATAAATTAAATATATGCATATAAGTATATATTGGCGTAAAATTTAACTATACGACTATTGACGAGTTTTAATAAAAATGCTACAAAAGCTTTGTTTGCTTTTTAAAATCACTACTCGATTACTTTATACATTTATATACGCAGGAAAATTTTTAAAGCGAAATATTTACATAAAAATTATATTTACTAAATATATAAAAGCAAAATAATTATAGTAGTTACGGAATAAACCGGTCGCGAAACATGCAGGCGATCACGTCAACGGTCGCATTCAAAACTCCTTTGACCTTTTTGGGAGGGGGAACAGATGGATTTAATGAAATAATTCCCGACTTATCTAATTAGTCTATTATTATCCGCAGTTCTTAAGGCAATTTTCGCGAATAAAATTAATTTTCTGGGGGTTTAATGTAATTGTTTTAAATTGTTCAAAATGATTTTCATAAGTTATAAACAATAAAAATACGAGCTAGACATTCTTTAATTTGAATTTTTAATGCATTTTTCGCACGATATTATTTAAAAAAATAAATCAAATATTGACATTTATAACAAATAAATGAAAATGCCAAATGATTAAACAGCAAAAAATTTAATGAAGAAAAAAAACATATCCTTCCAATATTAAATTATAAAGTATCAAACATTATATCTTGTTTACATTACAGTCTAAACAACGGAAATCAGCATTTATAACGTTATCTTAAAAATAGGACTCAGTGAAAGCACTCACCTATTCTGCGAAACGGGAATATCAGGTTGCGGAGATTCGTTGAAGCCTAAAAAGCAGCATCAATATTTAAATATAACAAAAGAAGTTTACTTTAAAAGTGATTTTTCAATTCTTAAAAAAAAAAAAAATTGTTGGAAATATTAAAAATACTATTACTGTATTTCCTTTCGTACATATTTAAACGACAACTTAAGAAATAATCATTTAAATCAAATTAATAAGCAGGTGCTTAGTTAAAAACAGGATATATTCTAGATTGAGCGAGTCAATACGTTGCTTCCTTTTTACAGTTATCCACCTGTATCTCCTTGATTAAGAAGGGTTTTTTTCCACTTCTCAACTGCTGCATAATTCATTCAAAACAGTAAGCCAATAAATATTATAAAAGATAGTTCAGACGGAGTGGGTTAATTTTAACTCTCTTAACGATATGGGAACGAAATGAAATCTATTTAATGACGTAATCTTGAAACCGAGAAGTGCGGATGTTATGACCAAAGGAGGTACAGGAAGCTACAATGCAAATCTAAAAAACAGATGTTTGCCTTTCGATCATAAAGTAACGTTCAAATTTGTTTTGTTCCCGTTCTATGACCTCTAAGTTTCACTTAGAGGTTATGTAATGCATAGATTAAAAAGAGAGAGAGAGAGGAGGGGGGAAATACCATCACCAGTTAGGAAGGTAAGCACTTTGAGAAATAACTTTCGCTTGTTTAACCTGAAAATGAATTAAAATTGAAAAATCGTTAGCCGCACCCTAATTTTCATAACTAGAATCCATTTATTTCGAAAAAATAAATGAACAAAAGCTTGGAAAAGGAGAGGAAATGCCATGCCCGACCTTGACACCACAATAAGCATGGATGATCACTGTAACCTGTATGGAAGGCAGGTGGGAAACAGGTTAGGACGACGAACTTCAGTTACCTGTGAGAGAAGAAATTTTCACAAGGGTATCAGTAATATCAGCAAGATACAAGCATTCTTGTTTTTTGCTTCTCATACAATCACTCTCCTACAGATCAACAAATTCTTATAATTCAATCTCTGCAGATCTTTTTAATTAAAGAAAATCAGAGTTATTTTACATAAAGAATACTCTCCAAAGCAATATGGAATGTTACAGTATTTAATAGAAAATACAGTATAGTATTTTTGTTTAATATTATTATACTATCTGCTTTAGAGATAATAAAAAGCAAACATTATTGATAAATTTAATGTTTCTGATAATATTTATTGAAAATGAGATCAAAATTTTATCTGTAAAACAAAAAATAAATTTGGCATTCTTAAATTATACATTATGTATGTGATCTTTTGTATTTAAATTTTTTTTATATATATATATCAAAATCTAAGAATAGTATTTCAAAATGTTCACAATCTCTTAAATATAAAAAAAAATTTCATTATAATTTCTATGTTCATTTAGCAATATATTCAAAAAACAAGTTTATGTTTAAAATAAAAATTCTTACTTTGATCAGAATCTACAGAAGATAAACAACTGGGTGTTAAGCTAGACCAGGATATTCGTCTCTTGGGTGTTTCTACCAAACTACTACAAAGAATAAGGGAAAGAAATATGAAACATTACATAATAATTTATTTTTAAATTTTATGTCATACCTATCAGTAGACAGTCCACTCAAATTAAACATTAAATCTGTTACAGGTGACATTCCACATCCTGAATTCAGTGTTGTAGAATTATTAAGTCTAAGAGGGAGAGCCAATCTAGTTTTTTCTTCAGAACCTGCCATCTAAATGCACTTGAGAAGCATAGAAATCAACACAGTCCAATAAGAATTTATATCAGTCAGACCATTTCATATTAGTAGCTGAAAAATAATAAATGTAATAAACATGAAATATACATATTAACTTTTAGATATAACAAAGAGAATGCTATGAACTTTAAAATATATTTGAGGAATTTTCTGAAAGAAAAGATTAGTGAATGGGGCATGCCACAATGACCTTATGACTCGACCCCCCGCAGATTTGAAAGTAAATAAGATTTATACGAAAGTTTAATGAAATATATACACTACCTGTTAATGTTAATGTTAAGAAACGATAAAAGAGAGCCGAACGGATCGAAGAACATTCAACACATTTTTTTTTTTTGTTCAGAGTATACTAATCAATAGACAACAATCTCCCCCGCCCAACCTCCCGTAGCAGTTACGACCAACTCACGACTCAACTGATCAGTTGTTTGAATTAGGGCGCCTCGAACCGGTCAAAGTAACAACAAAGAAATCTTTCTTCCAAATCGCATTTAAGTGATTATTAATATCAATAATATAGTAATGTGAATTAATAACTCCTTAATTTTCGCTTTAGAAGCGATATAGATAATTGTTTATTTAATTGTACGGAACGTTGTTGACGTCACCAGTCTTTCGGTTATGGCTGTAGATAATGTAAAAGCGAAGGCGTTTTGTGGTTAATGTAATGATAAAATATATTTTTATAATGTTTTGTATAATATAAAAATATTCTAATGCCTAAAATCTTTCTAAAAAGCTAATTAAAATTAATAAATTTTAAGGAGGATTTTTAATTTTTTACATTTTTCATATTGTGTGTTAATCTTCTAAAGTTTTTAAATTAAGAAATGCAGATTTTGAGTATCATCAAAAATAGTTGGAATGAATGCAAAGGTTTTAGAAAAATGGATGTATACAAACAGAATAATAAGTGAAATGGAAAACAAAAGAAAATTTTGGGCTATATATTGATTATAATTTCATTCATTATGGTCATGCAGTAAAATCGGACATGGGTAAGCAATGGGAAATGACACCCGAGTCAAAATATCTATGATAAATGATGAAGTTTTGGACCGGGCTACAGACTGAGTTGGATCCTCTAAAATTTTCACGAATAGTTTAATATTGATATGTAGAATGCTATTCCATACCCCAATACCAACCCATACCTCTGGCTAGTGCCGGCCCGAGGCAAGTTTTAGATGAAGCGAGATCCTATTATGGCGCCCCCTTGGTTGCCCCTAATTTATACCCTTTAATTTTCTTTACCACTGAGGCGCCCCCCGAGGACTTAGCGCCTGGAGCGGCTGCTCCGTTCGCCCTATGGTAGGGCCGGCTCTGCCTCTGGCCACTCCAGCCGAATCGTGATAGGGAAAACTGATTCTTTTTTTTAAAAAAAAATGTATAAGCTTAGTGTGCAAATACACGTTACGCTGAAAGGATTTTATAAAACATATAGAACTGTAGACATGAAACTCCACTATTTTAATACTACTACAGTATTTATTGATTTTATATAAACTACGGTATTCGATCATTTTAGATAAGAATGCGATAAACACTCAATTCTATTTTTACACGGACTCCCCCCTTTTTTATACGATTTTGATTTAACAATCTGAAAAAAGTTCAAAAAATATTTACTTTCTTTTTAGAATATTACTTTTTTTTTTTTAATTGAAAAATCTTTACAAATTACAATTGAAGCCGCTACACACGCTGAAGATTTTAAGGTTTTGCTGTTTGTTACGACTTTAATTATTTTAACGTGTATAGTGACAATTGATCTTTCATTTCGAATTTATCCCGCGATTTAAGCAGTTAGAAAAAAAAAATAATAATTCGAAGTTTGACAATTTATTTGATGTGTTTAATTGTGTTTCTTACGATTTCTTTCAATGCGTATGGGCTCCATACAGAATCTACATAGGGACTAATAGGGCTTAAGCCCTGGGTCTCCACGTGTCAAAGGTCCACAAAAATTGAATTATTATCATAAATTTTTAATACTTTTTCATTAACAATGAGCACTTATCGTATAGTAAAAAANGATAATAATTTCGCATTACAGTATATATATACGTATATTATTGACTCCAGGATTTTTAAAAAAGTGGTCCATCCAGATATGTCGGGTTCCGTGTCTCATCATTCTGTCGCCCTGTTGTGGGCCTTGCCGACAACAGGGAGGCAGAATGATGCCCTGTTGTCGGCAAGGCCGAATTTTTTTTTTTTTTTAGCAAACATAAAGCGTTTGCTAAAAAATACTCAATATAGATATAATTGTTAGAATGTACTGTATATTAATTATTATAAAAGGAAGTAAAAATAAATGTCGCTAGTACCATTTCCAAAAATAAAACAATAACAACAGTGTGTCAGCATAAATTTCCCTATTGTAAAAGCAAGCAAAAACAAAACATGTAAGTTGATTACAATTTTTTACATTATCTTATGATACTGCCTGTAATAAAATTTATTTTTTTAAAATAATTTTACACCATCCTGTTATTTGTTTCTTATTTATTAAAAAGTCATAATATGGCGGGACGATTCGAAAAACCCCAGGAATTTTTTGGGGAAACCTGTCCCGCATATGTCGAGCCCCATTCCTCATTAGCCGGATTCTTTATTATGAGCCTGATAAAAAAAAAGGCTTTCTTATTGCCATAAGGCGGAAAGAGTAAAAAATTTTTAAATCTATAAAATTTGGAGTTTTATTTGGATCACGCAAACATTTCTACAGGGGCGGATCTACGTAGAGACTAACAGGGCTTAAGACCTGGGTTCCAAGTGTCAAGGGTCCACAAAAATTGAATTATTATCATAAATTTTTAATACTTTTTCATTAACAATGAGCACTTATCGTATAGTAAAAAATAGTTAATATTAAAAATATGATAATAATGATAATTTATAGTATTATTTGTTTTATAGTAATCAGTGTAACGTAATTGGTCAGTTATTAATCAATGTAAATATTTTTTTATTCTTTATGTTCTTTTATATATATAAATGGACGTGTTTGGGCCTATACGTCACTCTGCAGCCAAAACTACACATCGCACATGAATGATGGTTGTGTGTGGTAGTAGCCCCAAGTCTCCCATCGTGCACTATGGTGGTTGCGTCTTGATAGCTACAAGGGTGCGAGAGATACGGGGTTTGAAAGTGGTTGACTTCGAAAATGTGTGACGCTTCAATGAGAATGTTCCAGCTTTTTCTAGAAAGTTCCAGAACCTAGAGGTGAAATTTGGTACACAGTTAGGGTACGTCATGAAAACGCACACTAAGAAAAGATATTTTGAAATTCCCCCGCGGGGGGAAAGGGAGAGCATTAAGGCTTAACCTGAAGAACGGCTTCTACTGTACTATTTTAGGTGCGATTTTTTTGTTTTTAACCCCTTTCAACCCTAGTAACTTCATAGTTGATGCTCTTTTAGTCATACAGTACGTTGTTGATGTTCTAACATTATTTCAAAATTACAAATTCTGATTGAATAATTAGTGTATTTTTTGGTTAAATTTAAAATATAATTTACAGAATCATTATAAATTATATTTGTAATTATTCCTATATTCTTTGTAAAATATTGACTTGACCTTAGAACTCGACCTTAGAATTAGTGTTTTTGTAGTTTACAGTAAATGCTAAAAATTTTACCGCACATTTAAAAATCCGGATGAAGTCCGATCCCAATTAGTCCTGATTTTCAACGTTTCACTGCAGTATCAATCATTTAGATTCTGACCGAGCAGAGACCATGGATCAAATCCAGAGTCAAAAAATCTCAGGAATTTTTGGGATATTACGTCTGGATAAGTCGGGATCCGTCCCTCACTACCTGGCAGCCAATTTTGGGCCTGGCAGAATCCATAATGGGATTGTTAAAAAAAAGGGTCCTCTTAGTGCCCACAAAACGAAAAGTCAAATAAATAAATAAATATATATCTTGTATGTTACGGCCAATGTCTGAAGTCTAGTCAATTTGCGAAATGGCCGGCCACTTCTAGCTTTGGTAGTCATGTGGCCAAAGCCCGAAATATACGAGAATTTACTATTAATTCAGACTTTGACTGGCCAATTTGCTATGCGTTCGACAATCAATAGCCAATTCGAGAATTGTCCAAGAGAAAGTGGCCATAGCTAGAAGTTTTGCGGAGCTGGATTATGTTTCTTTGCAATCGATGCCGGGTAATGAAATATCTCTAAGAGCAGCGTCATCAAGTCAATCTTTAACTGAAAGCCAAGGATTTCAGTGTTCATGCGTTACCCAGTGTTCAACATTTCGATGCAATTGCAAACGAGTCAATACGTTATGTAACTCGAAAAGTCACAATAATTCAGACAGTAGAAACAAGTAAAAGTAAAGGCCTTCATTCTGGTAAGATAACTTATTTTTCTCTGTAATATGATTCTTAAATGTAACTAAAGATCATAGACACTAAACAGCAAATATTTGCCTATTTTTTGAGAAGTTGCACACTTGTGCTCATTCAGAATTATTGGAAATAATAAAAACTATTAGGAGTTACGGTAGTGACTTTCCGCCAAGTAAAAAAGTCACTGACTGACTATACAAGGTAGCTTCAAAAAGTTCCCGGAATCATGCTAGATTAATCAATTAAAGGCGATGAAAAAGGGAACATGTAATGCATGTCTTAGCTAAACATGTCAGGAATAGAGAAATATGTTCAAACAAATCCGTACTCGCTGCAAAGATGACAAAAGTTACCATTCACTGAAGGTAATGTTAGTGAGATTTCGTAAAACAGAATCTGGCGAAAATTTCTGTGGAAGAACAACATGCAAATATCAAATTTTGTGTGCTATTCGGGAAAAGAAACCTTTTGAGACCTTGCTTCTGGACGCCTATGTTGAATCTTCCACGAAGCTCTTTCAAGTTTATGACTGGCAAACACGCCCGAGAGTGTATCGCTGTTGATTTGTGAAGTGGTAGTCCGCCGGCATCAACGTCTGAGGACAAAGTGTCGGTTGTACGCGATATTGAGGTCAAAAAGACAGCAGTCAATTGAGCAGATCGCCAAGACAGCAGGAATTTCGGTTGGAAGTTATCATTCCATCCTGTATGATCAATTGAACATGCATCGTTTTGCCAACACACGGTGCCACGAATGCTCATGACGGACCTCATGCGATTTCTAGCTCTTCCCCCAATTGAAAGATGCCATCGAAACACCACTTCAAGAATGTGGATGAGGTAATAAATAGTGCGACATCCGCGTTACAGGCGCTGTCGCGAGACGGCTTCCAAGAATGTTTTCAGCAGCTATACCAGCACCAGCAAGAGGGCGTGGTCGCCGAAGGACAATACTTTGGAGGATACGTTGCTTGATTTGTCAACTGTACACATACTTTTGAGTAACAAATCAATTCCGGGTACCATTTGAAGCTACCTTATGTACACAGGAATCGAT